CCCCATAATCACAGCTCTATGGAGCAGTATCAGACTCATATTCCTACTAGAATTGAGTAGGACTACGTCAGGCTAGGATAGCAGGGATTCTGGGAACAATTTATTCATGTAGCTTTACTGGGCTTTATTTTTTAAAGCTAACAAACAGGAAATGAGGCAGAAGACATGCAATAAAGAGACTAAACCGTCAGACCTTAGAAGCAGACCATTTTCAAAAAAAATGTCTAAATAGTCTTGCTGCCACTAAAAATGCAACTTCCATCTATTTGCACAGTTTAAATACTATATAGTCCTATCAGACAGTGTGGTTTTCAGTGAACATGAAGTTTACATAACTAAAACACTTCACATCAAGACATTTGAGTATTGGAAAAAAAGAGAAGTGTAAAAACACAAACCTTTCAATGCAGATGACACCTGAAGCCACTGGGACAACCACTCACGAGACTGGTTGGTTCCAAGACTGTCGGCATTGATTCCTCTTACATAACAAGCCTGCAAGAGGAAAGTCTTACATCATCCTGTGAAACAGTTTTAGCTTGTGAAAATAAAAATACAGCGTTGCCAACCTGTCTCAGTTCTGAGTCAGTCAGCTGGTGCGGGCCCAGTCGGCTGAGGGCTCGATCCAGCTGGAGCAGCTCCAGGGCGTGGCTGTTCAGTCGCCGGCCAATCAGGAACCCAGGGAGACGAGGCGTCAGGAAGAGGAGGGAGCTGATGTATCTCTGATTACCCATAAACATACACGTGTTCAACAGAGTGAAGGTGGATTTCTGCAGAAAACTGTCAGAGTTTACTGACCATATGATTACTCCTCAGTGCGTCTACAGCCAGCGGGGCTCCAGAGAACAGGCTTTTGACTGCAAGGATTTCAGACACTTTAGGATTTCCTCCACTTTGCACCTGAATGAGCACAGAAATGAGCCCTGGTCAAGACAAAGCTGCAGCCGACATTCAGTCTAAAGATTTGCAGCATCAGATACATTTCTCGTCATCCCGGATAAGAGATGCAATAACGTGCATCTTTTACTGCGGAGGCGCTGCATGACAAAGGTTTGTTTACTTTTAATCAGTGGGAAAAAACATGTTCAGAATTTAATGTTTTAATAAAACCTTTAAAAAATCACAGGAGAAAAATTAATAATTCCCGCTGAGAATACCTTTAAAAGAAATAAAACTTAAGTAATTTCTTTAATGAATGCAACATCTTACAAGTCTGTTACAGTTTCTAGGGTGTTCATTTTAAAAATTGATAACTCCTGAAGGATAAAAAGACCTGAAAGAGTTTATTTTTTCTCTTTAGGAATTATTCAATATGCAAAGGACAACCCACATTTATCTCTAGTTATGGGGCATATCTCGTAATGCTATTTTATAACTGAAGGTTACCATGTCCCCATAGCATCCTTTAGGCCCCATCTATTTAATGTTTGTTAGTAAAGTCAGAACTGTTTTCCATCACAGCATTGCAACCGTATCCATGAAGTGTTATTTAAACTCTAGTGGGATTTCCACTGGAACTGTGTGATGCATTTTCTTACCTTAGCACAGAGATTCTTCAGAAGACCTCGCAGGTGACCATTTTTCACCTGGTGGCTTGTATACTCGAGCTCTTTGAGCACTGCTTGGTGGCGCTGTGCCCTGTAGGAATGATAGAATCTCCGAAACTCCAGCTGCTGTTGGGGGGTCCAGAAATGAGGAATCAGAAGCTGACGAGGGAAAAAGTACCTGAGTGTGAACAGGACAGTCAAACAGAAAAAGGCACAATTATGCACAAACATTGGTCAAATCAATGAAAAGAAGGAATAAAAAAAAAAAAAAAAACTTACATCAGGATAAAAACCAGGTAGTTTGCAAAAGGAGGAATGGATATGACCACGAGTGGGATGGCCTTTATTAGGTCTCTGCGAAACTGAAGCATAGATAAAGTTAGTGTGTAATGAAAGATATGACGGCGATCAATAAACACTGAATTTAATTAAGAAAAAAGGAATCAAGCTCGGATCATTTCTATTAGACACTTCATGAAGGTCAACCAGCTATGAAGCAAACAGCACTGAGATAATTCATTTGTAAGCACATTTAGTTTAATGTTATAATCTTATGAGAATACCATAACTATTCTAATATATTTCTGCTTATATAAATTAGGTTGTTATCTATGTGTATTTAAAAAGTTGCATTTCTTTTTTATATTTCTACCCAACTTGTGATGGAAGGAGCAGTTTCAGCATTCTAAGTTTTGCCCACTTGCTCCTAAATTTCTGGGACATTGCAACTCAATCACAAATACATAATTTTCATAATTTTCTGTGTGGATATGGCTTTACTGAAATCAGATCTACAGAGTTTATATGGCATATTAAAAACACCGGATCCCATCCCAGGCATTTTCTCAGTGTAGCAGAGACAGTGACAGCATGCTGCCACCAGGGGGCTCTGTTGTCAAGGGTTTGTAAAAGTGTTTTTCATTGTAAGGTTGTTTCCTCTACAGTCGCTTTCAATAGTGCTGCTGTTTAAGTGCAGTTAATTAATTAAGTGCATTATCTTTCTGGATGTTGAAAGCTTGTAGAGAAAGTGGTGAGGTTCTTCCCTAAGGAAAGATAAGATTTGATTGGCTGTTCCTCTAAGTGCAAATGAAGGCCATGTGTATTATGTCAGTGCTTCTCAGTTATTTAGAATAGAGAAATATTATTTAATCCCAATTAGCTATAAAAGGCAGGTGTGTCAATGTCAAAGACAAAAGGAAGGAAACAGATGAAAGCAAACAAAGATCCCACCCCCGAAAAACATAAAAATCTGAATTAAAACCAGGAACCAAATAAAGAAACTGAAGTAGTAAAATCATTTTAAAATACAAAAAATACATTACAAAATCAAATACTAAGGTCCTTCTAGGCCATCCTACGTGCTCATCCTCATTTTCACTTACCGTTGGAGAGTCTTACATAGTGGAAAAATTGCAAATCTTTTGGAAAGTAAGCTTTTATGAGCAACACAAGCAGCGACTTTTAAACAGAGCGTGCACGAGGAGAAATGGGTTTGTGCATGCTCTCGCACACGTTAAATAGGCGTTCCATCTCAGGAGCAGGTACAGTGTTGTGCATATGCTTTTTTTTTTTAAGTGGAGAGGGCGGGGCTTTTAACAAATTTGTGAAAAATCCCCCACTATACCTTTAAGAAATAATGTTTAGATAATATAATCAAAGGTCACTCTAAAGTAAGTTTTTCATTTGAGTTTAAAGCAAATTATAATTTCAGCACTTTAACAGTTTTACGGCAGTGTGTTTTAGATTAGTGGAGCATAATGAGCCAGAAGACCTAAAAGGGGCCTGGGTGGTTGTTCCACTAGCAGCACGTCTGTAATGTATTTTGGTAGTAAGCCATTCAGTGATTTATAGACTAACAGAACTGGGCTGATGTGCTCCACTTTCCTAGTTTTA